TTTGCTTTGGGTTACGCGGATCACAGGGCTCCCTAGAGTTTGGCATTGAGCGTCACGCCAACAAGAGGAAACTCACTTTAAATCAGCCCAACAGGTGATGTTACAATTGAGACCCCTGGATCAATTGCTCTGAACTTGAATGTACTCAGGTGATTATAGTAGGACCTTGCCAATCAAATCAACCAAAGCACACAGCTGTCACCTTTGCACCCGTTTTACACAGAACCATCCCTGTAACCCATTGCATCAAGCGCGCTGCGCAGAGCGCATCGAATCACTTCAAAACAACAATGCAAAAATCACCAGCTTCAACAGATCCTTCAAGTCATCTGAAGAAGCGGGTCTTAATAGCCTTCCCCAATTCTAGTAGCTCAAAGCCTTAAGGTATCGTGCCGAAACGGAAAGTGCGCAAACGGGCTTGTCTCGAAATTTGGGGAACCTTCAAACATGGTCGGTTTTCTAATGTTGACCCCGTATTAGTATGTAACCCCCCCCCCCCCCCTGAAGGTCAGAAGGTTTTGGGGGGGGGGCAAGATTTGGAAGGTTTTTTGCCTCCCCCCTCTAAATAATCTGGAACTGAGTTTCCATTTAATTTAGTCTTACTGGAGCTTCCTTTTAAGATCTGGAATTGAGTTTCCATTGAGAAGGCCTGGTTGGGGCCGATGGACCGCACTAATTAGGGGGGGTTATTAATTGGGGGTGTAACGGGCCAATGTGGGGTACCCTTTGAAACCTTCTAAACTTGATGTTGTTAGCAAAATATTTAAAAAGAAATCGACCATCTCAGAACACGTTTTGTTTTGTGATTTGGGCCTAAAAGCATCCACCAAGCTTCAAGATGAGAGGAGGAGGAGATGAGAGCCCTAAGCAAGGCAGCAGCATGAGCCCATTGGAGCCGAAGCACCTTTTCAGGACATTCAAAGAAGGGCAAGCAGCAGTCCACAATCTTCAACAGCATCAGCTAGCACCAGACAGTTTACACTGTAATGAGCTCAGGCAGTGGAGAAAATGAGATAGCAGCAGCCATCTGGGGGAAAAACCGGTTGAATTGTTTTGTCTTGGGATCCATTTTTATTTGGGGGGGTAATTTCTGAGTTATGAATTGTTTAGTATTGGGGGGTGTCACCCAGACCGGACTAATAGGGGGGGGGGATTTAATACGGGGGCAACATTACTGGTTTCTGTTTAAACCAACCCCCGCCAAAAAAAAAACCATCCAAGCCAATTCTGGCATAACCTGCCATTTGCTTGAGCCCCTGGAAAGAATAACCATAAATCCAGTAGTGATAGATTGCCTTTAAAACCAACAGGGGAAGATAAAACAAATATTCATTTCAGCAGATGGAAGTAACACGCATGAATGGCTCCAAAGCTCCTCTTTGTTCTCCCCAGGTCCCAGCTCGGTCTTCTGCGAGGCCAGGCTGAATTTGGGGGGTCCTTGAAGCTTCCCCACTTGGGTTTGTCTGCTTTTTTGGGGGTGGGGTGCTTTGGAAAGGGCATGACAAGTAACACCAAACAATTGGGGGTCCCCCTTTTTCAGACACAACGTGCAGCATTCCGGATTCCGGGGCCGCGGCACACCCTTCTTTCTTCGCGCCTGGCAGACCCGAGCACAACGCAGACTCATGGAACTGGAGGCGCGCAGAAGGCGATTGCATAGGTCTGATCAAGGGAAGACATGAATCTAGGTGTGAGCCAAGAGAGAATGATAAGATTTAACATGATGTCATAGTCTGTCATGGTCAAGTATTTTGTCTTAGTTGTAGGTCTATCTCTTTTCATTTATGGTCTTACATTCTGTCTTTCATTTAGTCAATTTACATGTCTCTCTCAATGTCAATGTCTTGTGTCTGTTTACTTATTGTCGTCATCATTCCCTTTCTTCGCTATTTGATCTTGTTCATCGTCGAAACTTCGTGGGTTGCATCCCCAGCTGCTTTGTTTTTGGAAGCTACATGCAAAAGCTCATCCACGCCGGCATGGAACGGTCCAATGCATGTCCTCTATTAACCATTGAATCTATTCATTTTAAATACACCAATCTGGGTTTTTCTGCTCTGATTTTCTATTTCTTAAACTTTTTTATTGTCTGCTTCTTCTGCATTGGTGTTTACATGTCTCTTCCTTCTTGCCCCAGAATTCCGAAGGCGCAAGATAGTACAGGAGTGGTCTCATGGTGGGTACATGAATGAGTGAGTCGATGGGATGAGATAGTGCGAGATGAGTGAACAGTGGAGAAGAACATGAGCTGGAGGCACGTCGCGCCACGCAGTACGGCATTCCACAACCCCGACATCAGCGCTTTCAGGGCTCGCAAACAAATAAGCCCTTCAACCCACCCACCCACCCAGGCAGGCAGGCAGGCCAAGCAAGCAAGCAAGCAAGCAAGCAAGCAAGCAAGCAAGCAAGCCAGCCAGCCAGCCAGCCAGCCAGCCAGCCAGCCAGCCAGCCAGCCAGCCAGCCAGCCAGCCAGCCAGCCAGCCAGCCAGCCAGCCAGCCAGCCAGCAAGCAAGCAAGCAACCAACCCAACAACGACCCGTGCAGGCAGGCAAGCAGGCAAGCAGGCAAGCAAGCAAGCAGGCAAGCACCCAACCCAACCCAACCCAACCCAACCCAACCCAACCCAACCCAACCCAACCCAACCCAACCCAACCCAACCCAACCCAACCCAACCCAACCCAACCCAACCCAACCCAACCCAACCCAACCCAACCCAACAACCAACCAACAACAAAAAAGAAACACATGAACAAATACGCAAACAAAAATGCAAACAAAACAACCAGCGACCAACCAACCCCAAACCAAAACAAGGACAACTAGCAAACAAAACAACAAACCAAACACACAAACAGATAATCAAGCAAACACACCAAGCCAACGAACCAACCAAGCAAACAACCAAACCAACCAACCAACCGACCGACCAAGCAAAGAAAGAAATGAATAACCATGAAAAACCCGAGATAGACATAAGCAACAAATACAGAAATAAGTAAGACAAAATAAAGAAAGAAAGAAAGAAAGAAAGAAAGAAATAAAGAAAGAAAGGAAGGAAGGAAGGAAGGAAGGAAAGAAAGAAAGAAAGAAAGAAAGAAAGAAAGAATGAAAGAAAGAAAGAAAGAAAGAAAGAAAGAGAGAAAGAAAGAAAGAAAGAAAGAAAGAAAGAAAGAAAGAAAGAAAGAAAGAAAGAAAGGAAGGAAGGAAGAAAACAAAGAAAGAAAGAAAGAAAGAAAGAAAGCAAGAAAGCAAGAAAGCAAGAAAGCAAGAAAGCAAGAAAGCAATAAAGCAATAAAGCAATAAAGCAAGAAAGCAAGAAAGCAAGAAAGCAAGAAAGCAAGAAAGCAAGAAAGAAAGAAAGAAATAAAGAAAGAAAGATAAATAACATTAAAACAAAGAAACACTCAATCAGCAAAGCAACAACAATCGCATCACAGAAAGCACAAACGAAAGCAATAAGGAAAGCAATAACAAAAGAAAGAACAACACGCAAACAAACCAACAACAAAACAAAACCAACAACCCACACGACAAACACATAAATCAGCAAACAAACAAGCAAACAAACAAGCAAGCAAGCCAACAAAACAGAAACAAACAAATGGTCGCTTTGCCATCCTGACCTCCAAGACTTGCAAGAGCAGCTGCCGCCTCGCACGAACACAGGGATTTGTGCGCCCATCCAAACAAAGGAAAGCCTACAAGCACCTGCCACGAAGGGGAATCTCCGTTTGAACAATCCCCTTTGGAGCGAAGTGGGTTCTCTCGCAAATGCTTACTGAAACTGAGCAGAAACATCTTCTCAGCCATATGGGTGTGGGTCAAACATAGGTACGCAAAATGGAACCCTGCTAAATGGAAACGATGACTAAAACCTGCCGTCCCCTGGTGGTTTGATTTTGATGCATATTCACAACATGGGCATGGATGAAAAATTAGACCACCAGGGGACCCCTTTTGCGAGTCATACGAGCAGTAAAGATACTGCTTGTGGTCTTTACAATTTGGCACAATCCTTTTCCTCTGAAACATCCAATGCGCCAAACACACAATTGCGTGTTCCACTCAAACACCCGAACCGAAGCTGGCATGTGCCCGAGATGCCCTGTGCGCTGGGCTTCCTTGCCGTTTGCATCGAGCAATCTGGACATGGTCAGACCATCCGTTGCTCCCAAATACTTGGTTGACGTTGGGCGGGGAGCAACATTCAAAGCTTAGCAGTTTTGGTTGCTTGGATTTCAACCACCCAACCACAATAAGCAAAATTAAAAACATGTTTCCCAACAACCACCATGAATAGGACGTGTTCAACTTCGGTGGGCCCGGTTGCGGCGCGGTGGGACATGACCTCGGGCCTGCCCATCAGTTGTCCATCAGCTCAAGGGCCTCTGGCCTGCGGAACTGCCTGACCTGAGAAGACCTGCAGTCGCCTCTCCCGACCGCATGGCCCTGGTAAAGGAGGCATAAAACCCATCTAAACCAGTGGAACCCACATCTATGTTTAGCTAAGCTAACCCAAAAAGGGCACCTATGCTTCCAAGGTTGCCCGGGTTACGAAGGAAGACACAAGGGTAGAACTTCGTTTGCGAAGGCACTAGAAGACTCTGAGATTGCGCCCCTGCATCTTGCACTCACAAGCTTGCCAAGACCCAGGTTGCTGTTTGGGCCTTGAAGTTGTTGGTTGGAAGGTATCCCATTCTGGAGGTTGGTGGAAGCACCACCCTAATAATCCAACAGGTTGATTTAATATGGGGTCAACTTTAATCACGCAACCCGGACAGGACGCCTTGAGAATGAGATCTTTCACATACCGATCGGCTTGATTGGCACGAGGCCGGCTTTACCCGCAGTGGGCGATTTTTTGTTTGGTGGCTTCGACCAAAAAGAAGATTTCAACCAAACAAGGCGCTTGAATCATGTTGGTTGGATCATGTTGGATCCCCACTAAATCCCCACCAAATCGCGGTCGATGGGCGCCTTGGCAGCGATTGGCAATGCCTTCACTGGTGGCGGACCTCACAAGGGCCGTGAGCGTAATATCCCCCCTACCATAAGGGGGTGTGGGGGTCCCCAAACCACAAATGAAATTTCAGGGTCACCCCCGCCCCCAATTCCATTGTTGAGGAGGTGGGGATAGCGCAATGCTTTGAGCTTGATAGAAATGTTCAAACAGATCCCATGAAACCCGTGTGAAAGAGCTGATGGTTCACGCAGTTCAACTGTACACCTGAATTCCATAAGAGCGCAAAAACGGCGTGCCGGATCCAGGATCGCCTTGTTCAGCTTTGGGCAAACAACTGTTTGATTTTCCTTGATTTCCTGAAGCATGCTGAAAGGGGCACCCAGCTTCCTTGACTCGGCATGAGCCCTCGCGAAATCGCCGCTTCCCAAATTAAACCCGGAAGTCACAGCCCTCGCTAGTCAGGGGTTTGGGGCCCTCAAACGGAACTCAAAGCAAGAATCGTTTTGCTTGTCTCCTGATCTTCCGGGTTGATCCACAAGGGCTAAGCCGTCTCACCTGATTCACTGGAAGGGCCACCGGCCATCCAAAAGCAGCACTCATTGCACCAGATCCGATCTGAGGCAGCCGGCTTTCTTGCTTCGCTGCCTTGGCCTAAGCGACGCAGGTGCCCAAATCGCAGCCCACATTTCCACCAAACATGAGTAGAGTGTGCTTCTTTGGCGAAACATCCCTATGGGGGAATGGACATATATGTATAATTCGTACAATTCTTTTGTAGAGGTAGAAACTATTATATAATGTACTGTATATATATATATATGTACATAATATCATATGACATATATGTATGTATATATATATATGTATATATATATGTACATATATATATATATTATCTATTACACCATATTTTCCATGCATATACATATATATATATATATTGATATATCTAAACATATATTGATATTTCACAGCCCGTGAAGACTAGAGTGGGGGTCCGTTCAATGGGGTAGCCAGGAGCTGGCACTGCCTCCCAACCGCCAACGAGCTCAGCGGATGATGCGTCCAAGCGTTTCAACAACCGGAGCAACCACGCGGTGGTTTCACCAATTGTGAAACGAATGCTCTCGTCTGGGTCGCTTGAAAAAGGAAGCCGAAGGGGGAAACAAAATCCCGCCCGTTTTGTGGGGGTTCTCCCTTCACCCCGCCCAAGACACAAATCCATTCTACCTGAATTAAGGGATCCCCAAGAAACAGTTTACCTAGGTCCTCCAGTAGAGAGGTTAGAATAAGGGTGCCCTTTTTTCTGTAGTCTATTTTAGTAGGGGAACCCTCCCCCCAAAAAAGAATCGGTGAAAGGGCACGATCCTGAAAAAACCTAGTTACCACGGTGAGCTCGCTTTATCCCCCCAAAAACAATCGGCGCGCTCGCTCGGCGGGAAATGCGTGGCGCGGCTCTTTCCGGCCTGGCCGAGGACGAGTATGCCCGCGGACTCCGCCTTGCGCTTGGCAGCCTGCGAGGCCTGGCACGTACGCGGCTGCCCAAGAGGGGTCTCGCGAGTCGTGCCCCACGGGTGGACCGGTTTTTTAGTGGGGAAACCGAAGCCAAACAACAGAGGGAAGGATGGAATGCACCGAAGTGGGGTGAAACATGTGGAAAGCTTGGCAGTTGTTTTGGTTCGCGGCTCCAACCCTCAGCTGGCAGCTGAGCCCTGCCCGGATTCCACCCGAGCTTTGGCTCGCCGACTGCTGGCTGGGACCGGCGGCCCCGCTCCGGGCTCCGGGAGCTGAGTTTGTGCCCTCTTTAAATACCTTCCAAAGCTTCCATGTGCAGTTTTGCCCCCGAAAAATGAGAACATATGTCCAGTGACAAAATCCCTTTGAAAGAAACAAGGGGAAATAGCAAACAACAGACCCCTTGAGTATGGCTTTTAAAATGAACCAACACCAAACCAACCTTTTTATGAGAATGGGGGGTCTTGGACTTTGCTTTGACGCGTACCAGTTGTTATCTATGAAGCATGTTGCCAGTCGTCCACATAGCTTGCAACACACATGTAGCTGCCCGCCACTGCAGATCTGTCGGCAGGAGCCTGACTGACCAACACAGTTTCAAATCTGAGGTTGAGGGTAGAGGAAATCGAACAACGAATAGTTCTGTGTTGTTGTCTCAGCACTTGCACACCTTCTTTCTGCACCCATGTGCAATGCTAATCAGTGCTATATATATATATATGTGTGCCCTCCGTAGCGCTTGCACCCCTTTGCAAATTCACACTCATCAACAAAATGAGCAGGACAGGGTTGAACCTCTGAGTGCACTGGGACAGCATCCATCCGGTACACGGTTATGTGTCAACTGTAGGGACCCCTTCAGTATGGCTTAAAAAGAACCAACACGAAACCAACCGTTTGCGTGAATGGGGGTCGTGGACTTTGCTTTGACGCGTACCAGTTGTTATCTATGAAGCATGTTGCCAGTCGTCCACATAGCTTGCAACACACATGTAGCTGCCCGCCTCTGCAGATCTGTCGGCAGGAGCCTGACTGACCAACACAGTTTCAAATCTGAGGTTGAGGGTAGAGGAAATCGAACAACGAATAGTTCTGTGTTGTTGTCTCAGCACTTGCACACCTTCTTTTCTGCACCCATGTGCAATGCTAATCAGTGCTATATATATATATATATATGTGTGCCCTCCGTAGCGCTTGCACCCCTTTGCAAATTCACACTCATCAACAAAATGAGCAGGACAGGGTTGAACCTCTGAGTGCACTGGGACAGCATCCATCCGGTACACGGTTATGTGTCAACTGTAGGGACCCCTTCAGTATGGCTTAAAAAGAACCAACACGAAACCAACCGTTTGTGTGAATGGGGGTCGTGGACTTTGCTTTGACGCGTGCCAGTTGTTATCTATGAAGCATGTTGCCAGTCGTCCACATAGCTTGCAACACACATGTAGCTGCCCGCCTCTGCAGATCTGTCGGCAGGAGCCTGACTGACCAACACAGTTTCAAATCTGAGGTTGAGGGTAGAGGAAATCGAACAACGAATAGTTCTGTGTTGTTGTCTCAGCACTTGCACACCTTCTTTTCTGCACCCATGTGCAATGCTAATCAGTGCTATATATGTGTGCCCTCCGTAGCGCTTGCACCCCTTTGCAAATTCACACTCATCAACGAAATGAGCAGGACAGGGTTTGTGCACTGGGACAGCATCCATCCGGTACACGGTTATGTGTCAACTGTAGGGACCCCTTCAGTATGGCTTAAAAAGAACAAACACGAAACCAACCGTTTGTGTGAATGGGGGTCGTGGACTTTGCTTTGACGCGTGCCAGTTGTTATCTATGAAGCATGTTGCCAGTCGTCCACATAGCTTGCAACACACATGTAGCTGCCCGCCTCTGCAGATCTGTCGGCAGGAGCCTGACTGACCAACACAGTTTCAAATCTGAGGTTGAGGGTAGAGGAAATCGAACAACGAATAGTTCTGTGTTGTTGTCTCAGCACTTGCACACCTTCTTTTCTGCACCCATGTGCAATGCTAATCAGTGCTATATATATATATATATATGTGTGCCCTCCGTAGCGCTTGCACCCCTTTGCAAATTCACACTCATCAACGAAATGAGCAGGACAGGGTTGAACCTCTGAGTGCACTGGGACAGCATCCATCCGGTACACGGTTATGTGTCAACTGTAGGGACCCCTTCAGTATGGCTTAAAAAGAACCAACACGAAACCAACCGTTTGTGTGAATGGGGGGTCTTCGAGAGCACTGTGATAGAACTCTGGTCGTCCATCATTCGTATCCTTGCGCCGCCTTCTGTCCGAATCTCAGTCTCACTGAGAAGTCCCACCGCAGGAGTGGCTGCTGCTCTGCCGAAATCATCAAAAGGGTCTGCCTGACAGCCGCTAAGTTGGTCAACCAGCATAAAACCCAGTGTATCTCATATTTTGATGTGGCACGCTGGAGCGGTCTTAAATTGAGAACCCCCTCTTGAACGGTCTTCTAAGAGAGGCGAGCATTTTGCAGGGACATACCTGTGTCACATGTCCCCCCCCCTCCCCCAGTGCGCGTGCCTCAGCAGGTGCCTGACAACTGATGCGAAACAGCGTAGTAACACGCGAAACTTGCGCAGATGGCGGAATTTGGGCCGCTTGGACCCCTCCGAAACGAAGACCCATGGTGAAACAATTTTTGGTTGACTTTGGCTCGAAAAGCGAAGCCCAGAGATCGCAACTAACCGAACGAAAAGGAACAAAGGCAATGCGGCCAACCCTCACCATACTTCACGGCGGACTCCCAGAAAGACCCCCCTGCATGGTTTCTCGCCGCCGTCTGTGCAGCTGATCCTTCCTGGTCAAACTATGCCCGAGTCAGATATGTTGCCCCTTGGAAAACTTGGAAATGGGATGTAGGATCTTGCCCACTTTCCGGCTTCGGCCGAAGCCGAACCCTTTGAGCTCTTTGGGTGATTTCAGGCCGCCCACTCACTCAGAGGATTCATATGGGCACGTGTTTCTAACCCACTTGCAGGACTCGTTGGAAGTAAGATATTTCCTCATCTTTACTCATGTTTGTCAACTGCTTCGACAACTAGCCGATTGCCTCTGTGTTGGTCTCTTGGTTTCTGTTGACCCCCCTGCAAAAAGTTTAACGTTTTGGGGGGTTTAATCGCTTCTGCCTAATTAAAAAAAAAAACGTCTCCCCCCCCCAACAAAAAAACCTGGGGAGAGTTTTATTATTACCAGCACCCCCCAATGGCTTGCCAATTGCCGGCACATCGATTTTTGGCAAAACAATGTCACTTTATGTCTAAGTGACTGCAAAAGCAATTTGCTATCAAGTATCACTCATCTGTACTTAGTGCAATTTGTGCAATGATACAAGTGACCTTTCAGGGTCCTTTGGAATGGAGTTGCAGGGGAAAGGGGAGAGCAGCAAATTTGAGGTTTGGAGGGCAAGTTTGAGGTTGAGACGGGTTCTTGAGGAGCGTGTCACGGCGTGTCACGGCGTGTCACGGCGTGTCGGGGGGTGGCCAATTGCCGGCACATGTACGTTGAACGGTCACTTTTTTGGGATATGAGCGTGTCACCAGCGTGTCGCCCCCCCTCCCCCCCACGCGCGTTGCATGTGCAATGATCATACATGCCAGCCCAACCCCTCAATTGGATCCCCTCTAGTATCCTGAAGTGACGTTTCAACAAAAGTGACTTTTCACTGCACTTTGATGATGGCAAAAAATCTATGTGACTACAAAACCATTTTTCAGCAAGTGCTGGTCAATTGCCGGCACTTCACCCGGGACGCCAATTACCGGCCATCGGGGGGGCCTGGTAGGGGTCGCCGGTTTGGGCCTAGATCCAGTTGATAGTTTGCTGTCCAGTATTGGACTTGTATTGGAAAGTGGATCTCCTTTGATTTGGGGCAACAAATGCTCAGATTGCAACTTTGAAGTAAGAGCTTCGCTCGCGCTCGAAAATCGCAACTTTGTAGTTCAAGCCTAGCAAAGGAATCATACTCCCGGAGCTTGGGCTCGAAAACTGCAACTTACCATTTGGCTGGCATGGATAATCAATTACAGTGCTGAGCATGCACTAACCTACCCCTCATAATAAAACTTTCCTGAGTTGATGCACTTGAGCGGGTGAGCTTACCATTTGGCCTCTTGTTTCAACACACTCTGGAGGGGGGACCCTGAGCTTGGTGGAAAGCATGTGTAGTCTCAGGAGTTTAGTATTGGTTTAGTATTGGTTTTGTATTGGTTTAGTATTGGTGAATTTAAATTTAGTATTGCCGATTTTTTGCCCCGGCTCAGGGGATTTTGTTATTAGGGGTAGGTTGATTAATAGGAAGAAGTGATTAGTGGAAAACCCCTTGATTTTCCAAAAAGTTAAAGTCTAAAGATCCAACCCAGTAGCAGTCAAGTGGTGGGCTCGGTTTGAGAACATGTGACATGAGCTGAATGCTTAACAACCGAGGACTCTCACTGTGGCAAGCCGGAAGAATCGAATCGTCGCATCGTGACCATGTGAGTCTCGGCAAATGGAAAGCATGGTCCTGCTGGGGTGTTACCCCCTCTGAAATTGCAATACAAAAACACACGAACAGCCACATGAACAGCCACATGAACAGCCTTATAAAAACAGAAGGGGCTCTAAATGCCCCCTTGTAATTTGACTGTATATGCCTTACCGGGCTCTAAATGCTTTCAAAAAACACATGAACACGGCCTTGAACCGGGCCGGCCCCTTGTCGCATGCGCAGCTTGAATGGCAAAGTCTTAAGATAATTGAAGGGAAATCAGCACTCCTATTTCAGGTAACCTTTCAAGAGTGCTCATAAATTATCTTTCTTGTTCATCAGTGATATCCATGTGTATTTTCTTTCATTCCATCAGTTCTTTCTGAGTGCCCTGGTACGCGCTGATGACCTGGGCACCCCTTTTGGCACCGCCTTTAGGTGGAGGCCAGCAGCCAACCAACCATCTTCAGGTTCCAGTTCGGCAACGACTCAGCTGTTCAGTGACTCGAGGAGGAGGGAAAAAAAGGGAGCCCTTTTTTGGGGCAGGCCATTTTTAGTGGGGCAGCCGCGCAAACAAAAAGGAAAAAGAATTGGAGCCACTGAACAACTGAGACAATGCAGTCGTGGTCCCCGCCTGCTCCTCGCTTGGCCTGCACGGGACGGGGGGGGGGGGCTTTTTGGGCAGGGGGGGGGAGGGGGAAAGATGTTCTAAGCATTTCGTGGGAAGCCAAAGAAACTGTTTATTTTACCAGGAAGTCTATTTGCTTGATCGATAAACAACCATGCGGCAACAAACTGAGTTTGTGTAAGCTTCCTGCAAATAGAGACCCCCCTTTTTGGATAGTTTTGTGCCTTGTCCTGATCATGGGAGTGCATTTCAACAGGGACATCTTTTAGGTGCGGAGTCAGGTCCACCAACCACTTTTGAGGCGCTTCCACCGAAAAACAAAACATAAACTCTCTTGAGGATTGGCCAATCGCTCTCTGGAAGATAGAACAGCCGCAACACCTGTTTGGGTACTCCGAGCGCACAACTGACTCGGCTACCTTCTCGTAATTGGCGTGACTTGATGTGTCCTAGTGTCCTGATTTTCAAAGACCACCAATGAGAATGAGAAAGCCGCACGAAATCAGGACATATCCTTGGGCCTCAGGTGGTTTGATCAGCGTCATGCAGCAATGTGCTGATTGGCGATCGTTTGGATTTGAATGCCACCCCGCGACACCCTACAACTCTGGTCATGATCACATCACACGATCACATCAAGTCTCAGAATTTGTGCCGCTACTGTAGCTCCCTCATCGACAAAGATTCGACTGATGTCCTGCATCATCGTCAAACACATCGTCAACAGAGTCGCAGGCCATGTCGCCCCACGTGGCCGCAGCACTTCGTAAACCCCCCCATTCCCCACTTCCTCAGTGCATTGGCGAAACCTCTTCGCGAAACAAGCGCGACCTGTTTGTTTCCCACGTCAGTCCCAAACATATCAAGCCCATACACTGGGATCACGGACAGATCAGAAGCGCCTGGTGTTGCCCTTCTCCTTCTCCAGTTCCTGCAGGAGCTTCTCGAAGTGCTGCTTCTGCTCTGCCTGCAGCAATCTGTGCAAGATCACTTTCCAGGTTGATGGATGTCATTAGTGTAGGTGTGATATATGGCTTGACCACAGTGACCATACAATCCAAGTATTGCTCTCAATTGCTTTGTTCAGACAATTATTCAACCATGCTTCCTGCACCTGGTGGGCTGCCTGGTCCCCTCAGAGACGATCTCGATGTGGATGCCAAATCTGTGCAAACACTCCAACCCAGGGCAACCGCTGCCAAGATTGCTTCCACTCACGGTGAAGGCGCTTGAGCCTAGCAGGTCCAGTAACCAATCGCGTCCACAGCCAATGATGGTGTAAGCTAAGAAACCGCGACAAGAACAACCCTGATCACTTTGCGTGAACATATTGAGACAACACCAGTTAGCGGGAAACGCTGAGTTGAATTGAGTGTACCAACATGCTTGCTCCTCATTCCGTTGACGCTGTATCCAAAAGCACGACTGTGAATCTTATGAAAGAGTCATCGCCACGCTAGAAGGCGAAGACGCTGTCTGGCATCACGCTCTGATCAGGTTCGCAAAAACAAAAGCAAGGCGATGACATGCATGAGGCTAAATGCACCTCACACATCCTGTTGAGCACGCGCTTTTGTTGCGCACCTAACATGGTGGCAGCCACCCGAGCATGGCAAGTTGGATGCCAAATCACCTCGGCTTCCGCCTTCTTGTTTTGCGGGGTAAAGAAGCACACCTCCGTCTCAGTGATGCGCTACTTCGATCTACTTCGACTGAAGTTTAGTATTGACGTGTATGTGCATATTCTTGGCTAGCAGTTGGGAGTTGGGAGTTTGGAGTTCCGGAAACTTTGGGGGCATTGATCAATAAGTCATACCAAACATTCCTGAACGCGCCTGGTCACTGAAGCCCGAACCATCCAGTCCGATTCTGTTTTGCCATAGGATTGTGAGTAACCGCACGCCGATACCCAAAACCAATACCACCCTGCAAAATGGATATTCAAGCAAACCACCAGACACCGCCCAAAACCAATACCAAGCTGCGAAAGGGATACAGTCTCTTTGCCCAAGCCCCGAGCCCCGGCCTCGGGTAGCACCACCTCCAGAGCTCTCTGATACTCGAAGGCCAGGTGAAGAGAAGTGACCTTACCGATCAAGCACCCCACGAGGCAGAAACAAACCTCCAGTCACATGCTGACTTTGTTGGGCCCGGTGAAAGATCTGGGTACTGGATCTGAGCTGCTCCGTGTTTGTCTCTTTGCGTGTGAGCCAGTGTTTTCTTGCGCGTGCGCTACAATATTTTTTCTGCACGTTGCAGTTTGCGCATCCCACTGGCAGAGTTGTCTGTGGTGGTGCTTTGCAAGTTTCTGCCTTCATTGGCTGAAACCCCGGTGGATTGAGGCTTCAAGGGCTGACGCCAGCAAACACTGAAGAGGGTCATTGCCTCATGAGCGAAACGAATGGGCCCAGGCCTCCAGCTGCGCTAGCTCACACACGCCCACGGCTATGGTACTTCAGAACCGCTGCAACATGGGCCCGCTCAAGTTCAACAGCTGAACAGGCCAGCATGGCGAAGCAAGGCACAAAAGCTGCTACTGTACCGCCCTCCTGGCCAGAACCCGGCCGCAACCCCACTCGGCCCCCAATCCATGAATCTCTCAAGCAGTGAAACAGCTGGCTGCCACCTCAATGCTGAGATTTGCCCTTTTGCCTGCCGAGTGTCTGCGTGCTTCTGCAGGGATTTTTGCTCCTCCTGGCACAGGCAGGAAGCGCTGACAATCTGCGCCCTGGCAAACGGCAAATGGATTCGTTGGTGTCGTCTAAAAGCAAAACTGGCACTTAACAGGTATCCCGTCAAAGGCAACTTTCAGCTCTTGGGCGGACAGGTTGCAACTCATTTCAGGAGGCCCGCACGACCCCAAGCATTTGCCCTGAGAAAACTAAATCCAGAAGGCAACCCCAAATGTTGCACTTCTTGGAAAGCTTGGCGAATCGGTTCGATGCGACTCGCCCATCAAAGAGAACTGGCCTTTGTTTGGGTGGGATCACTGTTGTGGGAATTGGCCGGGGTGACAGCCCAAGGTGTAGACGAGATACAGGCAGTCCCCAACTGAAGAGACGCCAACTTGGCCTGTGATACATCCAGAAATCTGGGTCATTGGAGAAGATTAGTTGTAGAATTGGCCCATATTTAAACAATAGTGCTCTTGTCGAAACCAGCCCCGCTCCGAAGCCTACAAAAAATGAGTTGGCAACCACATTGGGGCATCTTTTCGGGGGTTGGGCCAAGCAATCCTTTTACTCACACCCACCAAAGACTTGCAGGATTCGGACACTCAAAGAGCCAACACCAACCAGTCGAAATATGGCCACGACTCACGATTGGCAACACGACTTCGATACGTCCTTCTACTGTGCGCTAAAAAAACCACAACAGCACCTGAGTCGCAATGCAACACCTGGTATTAAAATGGTCGACCCAGAAAGATGTACAGGATTAAGAAGGCGGCCGCAGATATTTATGGCTGGGATTGGCCCTTACTAACCTTCACCAATCCCCGGGTTTTGATTGTGGCTCACCTTGCCCTTGTGACGCTTCCTTTAGTCACAGTGAGCGCATGGAATATTTTTCGCATCTAGTCTGCAGAGTCAACTCACCGGAGCATCTCCTGCAAGGACTGCGCGTCCTTTTTCCCGTGGTCCACCTGCGCGGATTCCGAGGCGATGGCCATATCGTGGTTTGGTGCGAAGTTTCCTTTTGGTTTCTTCCGAAAAAATGTAAAATACCAACCAAGCGGGGGCTCCTTTAAAACAAAAGAGTGAGAAAAACTGAATCATGCACTTTGTTTCTCGAACTAGTGTATCAATTCCGTGTTTGCGCGTGCGCGTGCGCGTGGGCTTGCGCGTGCGCGTGCGCGTGCGGGTGCGGGTGTGTGGGTGGTGTGTGTGTGTGTGGGTGGTGTGTGTGTGTGTGGGTGGTGTGTGTGTGTGGGTGGTGTGTGTGTGTGTGTGTTCAAGTGTGTGTGTGTGTGTGTGTGTGTGTGTGTGTGTGTGTGTGTGTGTGTGTGTGTGTGTGTGTGTGTGTGTGTGTGTGTGTGTGTGTGTGTGTGTGTGTGTGTGTGTGTGTGTGTGTGTGTGTGTGTGTGTGTGTGTGTGTGTGTGTGTGTGTGTGTGTGTGTGTGTGTGTGTGTGTGTGTGTGTGTTGTGTGTGTATGTGTATGTGTATGTGTGTGTGTGTGTGGGAGGGAGGGAGGGAGGGAGGGAGGGAGGGACCCAAACACAATGGGTTACTCGAACTCGCAGGAGAACCCAATCTTGACCCCGCTCCCCGGGTTGCATGTCGAAGTGAAGGGACCCGCGTGACTTCCGATGTGGGACCCCATTCAAAGACAAGTCATCCGAAAGTCGAAAGCAGCCGCCAGGGGGATAAACTCCTCTTGCGCTTGCGCTTATGTTGGATGGATGCGCGCAAGCGGAGAGGCTTGGCCCATCGAGCGACTTGATCTCGAGTAGCTGGCTGTGAAACAAACAGCTGCCAGCCACAAGCCAAACTGTCCTGCCTCAAAAGCCGCCTAGCAATCAGAGGGGTCAAGTCCGCTTACATGAGCATGTCATTGGTTTTTCTGGAGGCAGCGTATCAGACACGCACGCTGAATTCAGGGGTGCGGGGCAACCTGCATGATTCCCGTTTTAGCCCTTCTTCTATATCATCACGGATCTCTCAGTTTCCCTTTGGACCTTCAAAGCTGGCACACTTGAACCATTTGTTGGCCCGTCTCGCTGTCGCGCCTGGGCGGTGAGCCGAAGAATCTCTGCCTTCAGCTTGGCATTCTCCTCTTTCTGCTTTGCGGCTTCTACCTCGTGGCAAGGAATCCTTGAGCAAACACACGAACTTGGAACCATACCAGGCCTTGATGCCTTCTTTATGTGGTTCCAAGGAAAACCAAAAGGAATCCCAGCATTCTGGGGGGTGCAATCCCTGTTTTGACACCGAGGTCCATTGCTGTTTGTCAGCCATGTGATGTGTCGCAGCAAAGAGACTGGCACAGCTTGCCTAGGACATGTCTCGTTTTGCTATGGGCCGTTGACACATGCTACGATCGCTATTGCCTGCCTTGCTATCCCATGACCCATGCCTGGGTAGAAGTTGTCCATGATGCAATCAACTTTCCGCACATTGCATGCGAGCCCGGACATCAAATGTTTGTTTCCCAAGACGCCTCGCCTCTCCAATCCAACAGTAGACCAATAATCACATTGTCAGCTCACATGAGAAACAAAATACGAGTACCAATGAGGACATCTGGTGAGTTGTCCCAATGTTCTTTACACATGAACCATAGTCTGATTCTTTGACCGAGTCGCATATGGAACAGGAAAAACTTGCCACCCAACAATGGGCCGAAACAGCAATCGACTATGGCTTACTTTTCCAAATAGATCACCCCTGGGGGGAGATCTGGGCATATGGGTTTGTATTTTTTTGCTGTTGCTAACCCAGGGTTTGAGGGGGTATGTTTCGAGTATGTTTCGGGGGCATATTCTACTCTTTCGGCTGTACATCCGGGAGAAACTCTGGGGGAAGGGCTTTGAGACCTTCAATCTCCTTGGAGTTGTCTGCGATCTTGCTCGAGTGCAGCCTTGGTGCACTCGCTGCAAAGCACCCGTGCAACCCATCCCTTTGCAGGCATGCGACACAAGCACAAGGGCTCCGGATTCCCAACCCCAGTAGTTTGGCAAAAAAATTGGCGGTCCTCTTGCAGGATTGCCCCTTTTTTCAGCCAGGCGCAAGGGGAACACAACAGGAACGCCTTGCTTTTTCCTCTGACACCGACCCACCGAAAGGCCAACGGCGGTCATTGAGATGGCGGCGACTTCACGCCTTCCATCTTTTTCACCTCCGAGACCTGGCAGAAACGAAAAAAGAAGCTACCCTCATCCATCCGCGAAACCGAATGCTGGAAATCACGTGTGTTGTTGTTGAACATCCGTGGTCTACATGAAAGTCACTGCGAATCCAATGCTGCACACATTCTTTTTTAGCATCCGTGGACCTGAAAATCATTTGGGCAAGGATTTGTGGCTTAGGGACCCTCTGGTGCACATCAAATTTGGGTGGGGGTTTGTGTCCAACCACTTTCCAGGAGGGTTCCTAATTTTAAATATCCCGGTGGGGTCTTATGTCCTCCAACCACTTTCCAGGGGGTCCTAAGTTCAATTCCTGGCCATTTAAACCTTGTCATGATTAGAGTTAGGCAACCAGCTATAGGATGTCTATTTTATTATTTGCTTCACTTTGAGTCACTGGTAAAATGTAAAATGTATCCTGAGTCTAGACAGGTTGTGTTACAGTAGGGTGTTAAATTTTGCTCAGACTAGTGGCGCCAGTGGCCCAAAGCTGACCCGCGGACAGCGATGCGGACCTGGGTGCTTGCCTTGTGTGCACTGAACCAAAGGCGTTTTGAGTTAGATCCAATCCGCAAAATTCGGAAGATCCTTCTGTTTGCATTACTTCCATTTACTTCACCCCCCTGGGAAAAAATATACATATTTCCAGTAGTGATACATTTCCCTCTGAAACCAACAAGGGGAAACAAAACATATTGTTGAGCAAATGGAAGATTAACTCTCCTTTAGCAAGAGCCTGAATGTGGATCACCTGAGACATGCTGTTCTTTGCTCCGAGGATCCACCCCCCAAATTGAACAGCAGGGGACGCAGGTTTTCGTCGTTGTTTCCATCTACCCAGGTGCCATTTGGGTGACCATTTTTTGGAGCCAAAGCCATATCACATTGGTCATGGGCCCTTCCGAACACAGGCAGAAAAGCAGCTCGCCTGCTTCTCGAGCTGTGACTGGCTGTTCTTCAACTCCGCATCCTGACGCGCAAAGCAGCGCTTTTTGGGCAAAACGCCTGTTTCGGTTCACGGAACTCATTCGAAATCCCCGAAAAATCGGAGGTTCTAGCAATAAAACTGCCCACTTTTCTTTTGGCTCAACCTGTCATTGCAAACTTCCTCTTGAGGCCGTTCATTGAGGTTGCCATGGTCTGGCCAAAACCCGAATTGTCAACATCCGACACGCCCGGGCCCAAACTCCCAAAAACAGAGCTCCACCAGCCAACGTGAACACATTGTCAAAAGCGGAAGGCATTCTTGCGGGCATTTAAGCCTCGCTCTGGTACTTACACATAAATATATGTATATATATATATAACATATTGCCACATACGTACGTAATTACATGCATCTATACATGCACACACATACACATAGACATGCATTAGCATTTGCACTGCATTACATGTCCCTGATGTCACATCAAGGCAACATGGCTGCAAAAGCTGCAAATTCAATCTCCTTTGGCATGCGCCAGTCTCTCTGCTTGCTCCCCTTTGTGTTGCTTGGACATCTCATCACTTGGAGGTTTGAACAAAAACATATTCATCCCCACTCCCAGCCTTCGCTGCACTTCTCAGCCCAAGGCCAAAGCTCAGTGCAAAGCCTGCACCTTTGAAACTCACATGATCTCTCTCAGGCGCATGGGGCAAATCGCGCGCAAGCTGCATTGACTAAACTTTACATGGCATTGCGTTACAATACCTTGCAGCAAGCTGGAGTACAGTACAATGCACGACATATTACTATTTGCCTGCACACATATACACAGATAATTTACATACATACAAATAGACACCCTTTGCAGCTGGCTCACCCTCTCCGAACTTTGAATACTGCCTGTAGTCTTCGAGACTTATTGTTTCGACCAGCTGAGTGTTGATCCACAGCAACCCGAGCTTGTCCTCTCTACCATCATGCCCTTTGCTTCCTTTCGAAGCGTCAAATGACCCGTAGCTTCATTTCAAGTCTCGAGCAAACAAACACAGGAACAAGGGCAAGTCCCTTTGGCAGCCTCCCCGAAAGCTTGTGGATCACGCTTCAGCTTCGCACGGGGTCTGTTTCGCACTTTGCTTGGTGCTCAGTGGGGAATGACCTTCCGGGTGTTGGGAATGAACCAAGGGGTCTTAGAGGACATGACAAGGGATGGTCCTAAGCAGGGCGCACCAAGGAAAACCCCTACTTCGAGGGAGAAGATGGTGGTTTTTTGGGGCTCAGTCCAACTCATTCCCTGCATCTCTCGCACCAGCAAGCATAGGTGTCCTTCTTGGAAAAATAGATGGCCCTTGAACCAGGTAAACCAGGGTCCTCTATTTTTCAACCAAATCAACCAAAAAGGAAACCTATGCCAGCGAAACGAAGTCCTTGTTCTTCAAGTCACTCAGCAGCTGGCCCTTCGCCTGGCAGTTGCATTCGAGCGTGAGACATGCGAAGTTGGCCGGAATTGAATTCCCACCGGTTGAGTCTGGACTCATGGGACTTCATTCCAAGACTCAATTCTTCAGTTTTTTTTTCTTTTGCCATTCATGTTTCGCGAACAGACATCAAACATCCCACCTGTAGGCCTTTGCACCTTTAGGTTGTTGGCACTGTTTCATGCGGACCTCACTCACCACGGACCTTTCGATGTTTGGCACTGCTTCACCGACCTCCCACCAAAAAAAAAAACACCGGTTTCGGGCCGCCAAGAGGCCGCCAAGGCCCCAAACTCAGTTGCCCAAAGGAGCTGGGACCAAAAGGTGAACCCTTTCAGGGCATGACTTTTTCTGTGGACCAAAACAGGAACACCAAAAGGTCAAAAGGTCTTTGGGCTGAGCAAAACGAGTCGCCTTAACGAGCTCCTGGGACTTGGAGCGCTCCTCGCTCACGGCCTGCTGGCCCTCCTCCAGCTTGGCCTCCCACGCCGGAGGGAGAGACTCCCCGCACAAAAAAAGGGAAGATGGCCGAAAAGGCGACCAAAAAAGGGGCAAAGCTTAGATGAGTTTCCACCTGGAATGATTTGAAAGCCTGCAGTTTGAGTTGGTTTTTGAGGGGAAAGGCGCGTTTTACGTTTTTGCTCGGTGAGCTTGTGAACTAACTTCTGGCTTGGGGAAGGGATGTGTGTGGCAGGTGGCTCAGACCAAACCGCCTTTTTGGGTGGCTTCTAAATCCAGGGACTCTTCAGCTGGCCTGAAACACAGGATTGGTAGATGGAGCGGGCAGAAAGTGGCAGCTTAGCGGTCAAAACTCTGGGCTTCGAACTGCAGCGGGCAAAGGAAAGGCGGTCGGCTTGAGGCATCCCCAGCAAACGTGCCCTTTCAGGTTTTTCCCTTTGAGCGTGGCGCAGTTCGTTTGGAAACTGAGGTCATCTCGTGAGACCTGACTGCTTCTTGCGCTGCTCCAATCAGGAAGAAACGAGTCGACAAAAACAACGATACGGAAGATACCCTAAAAACACAAATGATGCAGAGGCCGCCCTAAGGGATTGGGGATGACATCCCCCAGCTGCACTGAAAGATCCAATGCTGCCATCTTCGCGCTAAATGCAAGAAACGCAACTCAGGCTGACACTGATCCACCCCCTCCCTGCACGAAACAAGAACAACAAGCAAGCAAGAACAAAGGAGCAAGCGGCAAGTCAACAAAAACAAAAACAAAGCTTGGCTGCGCATGGGCACTCTGGTGAAATTTGACCCCGCGTGCTCGCTCGCGGGCGCGCCATTGCGCCACAGGGCCCCCGGAACTAGAGCGCTAGCACTAGCACCCCCCACTTTGAGGATGCAAGCCACGGGCCAGCCTTCAGCTGTTGGTTCTCCTCTCTCAGCTTTGTCACCTCCGCCTGCACCGCTGGCCAAGCTGGCGGCACATGGGCGCATTCAAGTGCGACCCTTGCCTCAAATCTGATCCGTGTGGCCCCAACGCACCGCCACACCAAGAGCAAGCACTCACAACTGCCAAGAACGCCCCAGCCTCAAAACAGAATTCTCAGCATTTGCTGAACACTCACAACCACTCTTGAGCGAATCAACTCGCGTCGCCCCAGCTGGTTTCAATCACACTCTGGTGCACACACGATGCCTGGATCTGCATCCGCTTGGACATTCCACTGTTGGGGCAATTCGAACATCACGGATTCTCGGTTGCTTTCTGCTCCCCTGCTAAATGTTTAACTTTTAGTAGCTTAGTGGAAAACCCTAATCATTTGTCGGCAAAAAGTTAAAGTCCTAACAGCCAAGCAACATGAACCAAAGGATTACTTGGCACCATGAAAAGTACTGGATGCGTGCCGTGTGACCTAAGATCAGAGCGCGAACATAGATCTCGAGACCATTCCAGTGCACCCTGTGCAGGTTGACTGATTGGATCTATGAAACGGTTGAGGTCTCGCAAATCTATAGGATGTGCTCAACGGTGCAAGCACATCTCGTAGTACCGTTCGCTACAGGGGTCACTGGATTTCCCTTTCAAAAGTTGGAATGTACTCGTGGTTTCCGGGAAATGGAGAAAACCCTGGGTGACGAATCCTTGAACCAACAATAATTCAATTGAAACGGGCGAATAATTCCGCCGTGCGAGGCAACTGTCCCACCTGCGGCACGGTTTTTGCAGCCTCTGTCGTCAGCTTTGTACGTTCTGCCTGGCGACTGTACGTCCGGCTCAGCCCTATGGCATGCCCCTGTTCCGGGGGTGGTTTGGGGTGCTCAGTTTCACTTTGGAGGTGCGCGCAACAAATGGCTCTCGCAATTACAAGGAATACCAAGCCGAGCTTCGTCTTGCTGAAGGCAGACTGTCTCGGGTTGCTCCAGATTTGTGACCGTTGTATGTGTCAAACTAGGGGGAGCCGCCCTACAATGGTTGGGTCGTCCTTTTTGTCCTTCTAAACGGGGATCCCAAGCCAAATGAGTGCTACATGTCCTTTGCGGTTGGCTGGACGAGTCAAGAGAAAGGCTGTTCCCTAAGAGCATTGGTTGACACAAATTGGAACCCGAAAAAAAACCCAGGCTCCCAGCTTCGAAGAACGAGGCAATGGCAACGACCCCCGCAAATGTCCAGAAAAAATGGGCTGTCCATTTGGGTCCCGCCTGCAGGCTTGCAATGGTCTTTTCGTGCTCAGCGATCTTCTTCATGTGCAACCTCGAATGGTTTGACACTTCCGCGCCCAACACCGTTTCCTATTGCCCATAGCAGGTGGTTCTACCTGTTTGCTGGGCGGTCCAAACTGATCCCCGCTAAAGTTCAACTTTTGGTGGCTTAAACGGAAAGTACCACTAACCCCCCCCCAAAAAAAACAAACGGATGCTGGCGCTACACTTGAACATTGCCCTCCGTGCCATGGAACTTCACTGGGTGGCCGACTAAACAAAGACACACCCGAACCGTGGTTTCCCTTTGGGCCTGCGGGAAAAGGTCCTGTTTCAAATGTCCCAATCGTATCTTTCAAGAAGCCCTGAACCTGTAGATGCAACATACATCAGTCAGTCAAGCAGAGAGTCACATGTTAGCTGCAACCGTGAACATGAGGAACACGGGAGAGCAGCGTTTCTGCTAGCTTCCGAATTTGGGTGGGTAATCCCATATTGGAACATCAGGGAAGGAAAGGATGCTGCAAAAAAAACAAAACATGTACAAGTGCATTATGCAAAACTCACACGCTTCAAACTGAGAGCTAGAAGATGTCAACTATCAGTTTCTAGCACCCAAACACCCCACTTCTTTCATTATTGGAAAAAAAGAAGGGGGGGCCCTCTTTTCTTGGCAGTGGCTATTTTTTTTTGGGAACCCCTCTCCCGAAAAAAAAAGAAAAAACAAGAAGAACCAAAAAGTGACACAGGGCAGGGCGATGTCTCACGTCTCCAGCCGGCGATGTCCCAAATCGACTGAGGCCCTGGGCTCCTTGAGGTTTTGGTCGGCTTTGGACTTCTTCTCCTGCGGTGACAACCTTTTCCCCGCCAAAGGATGGGGAGGAAACCGCTGAAAATGGAGTCTCGGTTGTCCTTATCGGTTGTCCTTGGGTTTCCATTTGAACCAACCCTAGGTCCTCCAGTGGAGAGGGTAGAATCAGGGTAACCTTTGCTTCTGTAGTCTACTTTAGTAGGGGAACCCTCCCCCAAGAAAGGGTAAAAGGGCACTGGGGGACCTAGAAATGAATATAGGGAGGATGCAAGGAGAACTCCAACAATTTGCTCGTGCCCCCAAAAACCTGCCTGGCAAAAAGATGAACATCGGAAGGCGCCAAAAACCTGAAACGCAAAAGGACGCCACTAGTGGTGGATTGTGGTGGGTTTAGGTTCAACTTCCCCGCGTTCATGAACGAGCTGCAACACGCGTTCGAAAACGAGGTGCTTCCCGGCATGAGGCAGTCAAGTTGTACAATAAGCATAGATGCATAAATTATACACGTACATAGACAAGATGTATGTATCCATAACAATGAAAACACACAATCCAATGAGGAAGCACAACAACAATGCAAGGCTCAGGCAAAGGCCGACCATCATGGTCCTTTTCTATTCAAGCTCAGGATTTTGGCATGACACCCTGGTTGTCTTTGGCTCCCGCGGTGGATTTTTGCCCGCGTGTTGGAGCCGGTGGCTTTACCCCGGGTGCCTGCTGTTGCACCTCGGCGTCTTTGGTCTTCAGCTGGCTTTGTACCTGCTCCTTCTCCTGGCCAGTCGAGCTACACGAGGGATTTGGAAGATTTCCTAAACAAAAATACACACATGGTTGTATTTGTTTGGGAGACCCCCAAAAGGATGGCGTTCCTCCTCGTTTCCGTTTGCAATCTTGAAAAAGGGTATGCCGTGGGGGAATCTGGCAAGTTGGGAGTGCTCTTACAAAAAGGGGTTGCAACAAGTAATCAAATGTCGCCAACCCCCCGCCCAAGCCTCCCGCATTTCCAGTGCCCCAAGGCAATTTCTTCCCTCTAACAAGTTCTTGAGCCCTTTGGTGTTGGGCGCAAATCAACAACCCCCCCCCCCACCCCACCCTTCCCCCAAACCTGCAACCCTCCCGACCCGGCAAGCGGCTAAGTGGCCTTGAGCATGTCCTGCAGCTTGCCCTGCTCCGACTCCAAAGCCTGCTTCTTCTCTGCCAGCTGCGCCTAGCAAACTGGGCACTGGGAGGTGCCCTGGGGGCCTGGGGGCGGGGGAGGTTTACGGTTTGGGGGGGCAAGCAGCATGGTGGCCTCGCTTGGTGTGCTACGCTTGTACGCGAAAGAGCCGCGAAATGGGCTCATGCAAAACAAGCACGCGCGAAAGGAAGACGCTTTCGTGCGCGAAAAAGGTCACGGAAGCTTGGCGAAGGAGGACAACTAGCACTCCGACGCCCAGGCTCCACGCCTGCCTCACACCCAACACACAACCCAACACCCAGGCCGGGAGACACGACCCCAGAGAACGGCGGCGCATCTGGCATCTGAAAAAGTACGACTCGGAGAGGACATGTGGGGGACAAATCCGGAGCCGGCGTCACAGCATCCGGCATCTGACCAACTGGGAGACACTAAGGAGACAAGCGGGAGACATGATTTCGGAGCGTCACAGCATCTGGCATCTGACCAGAGAGACTGGGAGAAGTGGGAGCCAACGTCACACTTTCCCATTCTTTCAACCTCAATGCTCTGCCGTTTGGGGAACACAAAAACATCTACAACTATTATTTAGGAGACCTTTTTTTTTTAAACCTCAGTGGGCGATTGGAGTAAAGCCCAATACCGTCACCACAGGCCATGACCTGCCTGGGCCAAAAGCTACGGGGCCCCCGCCCCCGCCGCAAGCGAAACGCAATGGCCTTGAGCTCCTGCAGAGACTGCAGCTCGGAGTCCTTTGTCTTCAAGGTCTCCTGGCGACCCCACCCTGAAAGGGGGGGGGATTCGGTGTGGGCGTCCTTTTTGACGGAAAAAAAACATAAAACAAGAAACGGTCAACATGTGTCTCTTTGGTACATCTGTCTCTCTTTCTGATTTTTAACGGGAAATCAAAGGCACCCATCTGTTTTCCTGGTTGCTTGGGAAAACCACATGGCCCCCCGTTCTGGTTTTGAAGGGAAACTTCGTGCGCAGTGGGTCTAAGAAGCTCCCCGAGAAAAAGGCCTGTAAAGGGGATCAACATCTGAGTCATAATCAAAACCCGGTATTAAAATGGTCGTAATCCCGGAACCATGCTTCAAGAATTAAGAAGGCGTATGGTTGGGAGTATCCCTTACTAAGCTTCATATACCCAGGTTTTGGTTGCTCATCCTGACATTCACTCCTGCAATTGCTCCAGCTTCTCCGTCAGCGTCACCTTCTGCGCCTGGGCTTGCTGGCTTGACTTGCAGGCTCATCCGGCCTCTTGAAAACATCATGTGGCTGTGGGTCAAAAAATGGGTAGCCAAAATTGAACCCTGGTAAATGGAACCAACTACTAAAACCTGCGGTCCACTGGTGGTTTAATTTTGACCCATACCCATGTCCCGGGTCTCTCTGGCAGCAAATTGATCAGTCTCTCCCGGGTCTCTTTGGCAGCAAGTTGATAAGTCTCTCCATCTCCGGAATTTTGATGCCAAGTTCCCTGGTTGAAAGCTATCGTGTGCCTCTGGCGACGTAAACATATTGGACATCACACACCCACGCATGCACACACACACACAAACACAAACACAAATACAAACACAAACAAATGCACACACACACACAGTATTCCTCGAGCACCCAACGTGTTGTTTTTAGGTACGAGAACAAAACGCTCGAATTACCGATTTCTGCTCGACCCCCCAAAAACGCTCACCCCCGCGAACAAAAATGCTCCATCAAACCCCCTTATTTCATCCGGAGTAAGGCGAGCAATTGTTACGTCTCCTTTAAAACCAAAACTATAAACAAAATGCGCTCGTTTGCGATATTTGCGCTCGTTTTGCGGATGTTTGCGCTTGTTGTGCACTTTGATTTCTGCTTGATCCTTTCAGCGACCGATCATCTTGGAGGACCGGTCAGAAACGCTCGAAGCAAGAAAAAGTGTACGTTTACCATATTTTGGTGACGACCCTTGGTTTTGCAATACGTTTGGGCTAAGGGCAGAAATCTAAGTAACGAAGGGGGCTCCAGGTTGGGATTGGGGCGCCCCCGATTTGGCTTGGGGTGGTTGACCGTAGGAACCCTTCTCAGAAACGGCCCGGGGTTTTCCTTGAAATCATGTAACACCCAGAACCCCAGTGACCATTGGACACAGGGGCCCACTCCAACAAAGTTGAACGAGTTCACCTCTAGAGGTCTGCGAAACATACAATCCACAAGTACAGTAGTTCCCGGCAAAAAAAACAGCAACAAAACGGGTGGTCGTTGGTTCCCCCAAGAAAAGGCTTGCCTCAAAAAAGGACAGCTCGAGTTTATACACGCCTGCCACTCCTTCTGCAGCTCCCGGTGCTGGGCAGCCTGCCAAATCCAAAAGCTGAGCCCAAAACAGCTGTGTTTCTTGGCTGGAACTAGGACCCCAGCAAAAGATATATTTATTTTGCCTGGTTAGTGGAAAACAGAGGGGACCCCAAAAAAGGAAAACAAAAGAGCAACTAATTCTGGGGAAGGTTTGTGGGTGGATGGCCCAAAACAAGTCCCAACCAGCTTATTGTCAGTGACCTCGCTAAACTAATTTAGGTCACCAAAAAGAAGCTGGAACTTTTTGTTTGCCCAAACAGTCTAAAGCCCATGAACTCAGAAAGTGATGTGTCTTCTCTTGCGGGGCTTTGGAACGCCTCGCCATGAACTAACACGCAACACACAAACTCGCAGGCCGTGACAAGAGACTCCAATCGGCAGCATTTGGTATCCCCAATAAGACACGCTGTGCCTTTAAACACTTTGCTCGGCTGAAAGAACCTTCGAGGATTTCAACGGCTTACCTTCCAGGATCTTCACGAAACATGGACGAAGGGAACCCCAAAAGGTGAAAAGCTCATGTCTAGACAACTCAGGGGATGCATGGCGACAGCAGAGAGCTCAGAATCCCATGTCGTTGAAGCCAGCTCAGTGAGATGCAAACATGTCTGCGGGTCAAAAGCCCGTACCCCCAGTGAACATCCCAATCCCCACTAAAATTGACTAACAGGGTGGTGCACCTACCCCAAAATGGTACCATTGGTTTTGACCCACAGCCACATTGAGCTGAAGCACTTTGCCCACTGGACAACCTACCAATAACATTCACTCGTTTCTACAGCAAACACCAAGTGTGCATGACTTTCCTAGCCGCAGATCGAATCCCAAATGCCTGGATCGGCAAGTTAAACAACAGAGGCCAGGATTCTTGCCTGCGAAGCGACCAACCTACGACGGGCCAGTGGAAGATACGCCCTGGACCTCTTCCAATTCAGCTCCAAGCCTTGAAGCTGCAATCTTGAAAACGTGGGGCACGAATACAAATCAGGAAATGCGCCTGGGTCAGTAGAGGGGGACAGAACCACAAACGTAATTTCTTCGGGTTCGAACCCAGTGGGGGGTGGCGGGCTCTGGCCCAACAAACAGCAACTGAGACGAACGATGATCCCCCCACTCGTTCCCTGTCCCCGTCGTTTTGCCCGAGCTCAATGCCGACAGTCTGACGAACATTTTACCTGTTGCTTGGGCCTACCCAACATCATCCTCACGTCCAGAGAAACACCCAGGGCAAACAGGCCAAACCCCTGACTTGAACTGGTTTCAACCTCCGTCGCCTAAACAACCTCCTTTCGGGCTCAAGTGCCTGATCCTGTTCTTCAAATGTGCATCCAACCCTCACATATCACGGCCTCCCGGTTGCCCTCCAGGCGCTCCTGTCCGTGAGTCAGTCAGCTTTCTGATTGGTTTGGATTGGTTGTAGGTAACCCTTCCGGTAACTTGCCAGTCTGGTACCTAGTATTACGGTAACTGGAAGCATTGAGGGTGGTTTGGAGGTTAGCTGTCCTTCCGCTGCTCCGCGCAAGAACTATAGGGGCGAAAATCCCAAACCAATCTGAACCGCCAATTAGGGCCCGTAGGGGCAAGCTGTGTCAGAGTTCAACACGTCGTGTTCCTCCCCACCTGGAAAAACACCAAGCGTCTTTCTGACAAATGGAATAGGAATTCCGAACACCCACCCAAAAATGGACTAACGGACTGCAGTTCAGGCGCGGGAGTATGGAATCGGATTGTGTTGGGTGGAACCATCACTGCTATATATATATTATAATATATATATATATACATATATATATATATATATATTGTATTCGATGCCCAAAACCACGAGCATCTACAAAGGCGGGCGGCCACATCCAGTAATTCTGGCTTAGAGCCAGTTGTGTCACTTGGAACCTACTTTTGATTCTTCCCCTGGAAAGACCCGCAACTTCTCCTCCAAATGCCAATATCTTCCAAGGGTTTTGAAATGAGGTTGCACGGGTCTCAACAAAAAATGACAGCCCCAAGACCCGCAGAACGAACAAACCCAGCTTAGAATTGGCCCAGGCTTTCGCTTTTCCGTTTGCCATTCCCCGAACCACTACAGTTGGGTGAAAAAGTGCCCATCATGTTGGTTACCTCATCCCCTTTACTTACACACATAAAAGGTAATTGTGTCATCTACTCCCCCCCCCCTCCCCCCCTTCCCCCCAAACAAAAACAACAACAAAAAAAAAGGACCCTCCCAAGAAAATCGAGCACACCCAACGAGTTTCACTTGGCCACCTGCCTTCTTCTCGCCTTTTCTTCCCCGTCTTCCCCCGTCTTACGCGCCCGTTTTGCCGCAGTTTTCTTGGTTGTTGTTGACCCCCTTGCAAAAAGTGGACCACTTTTGGGGGGTTGTGGAGAAAAAAACACCTTTATTTCCTAAAAAGTTAAAGTCTAAAGATCCAACCCAACAGCAGTCAAGTTTCGCGCGCGGGCCTGCAGGGACCGGTTCTCCACTTTCAGGCCCCTGAGCTCCGTGTCCAGTGCCTCCATCTGCGACAGCTTGGCCAAGGCCCTCGGCTTGAAACGTTGCGAAATCCGCAAAAAATCGGAGCCCCAAAAACTGCTTTTTGGTTTTCCTTCTTCAATTTGACGGAAAACACTTTCTTTTTTTTTTAAAGGACAACCAAAGAAGAAAAAGCTCCGTTTCTTGTCTTGGTGTTCCTTTTAAAACCAACCCACTACCCTCCAGAAAAAAAAAAGAAAAAGAGAAAATAACAAGCAATTGCATATACCCCCTTGACCCCATAAGTCTCAAGTCATTTGCGCCCAGTATTTGAAGGGAAATCGAAAAAAGGACCCCGAGCCATGCTCCTCTTTTAAAAGGGACAATTTTCCGAAGTCCCAGTAATTGCTTTTGGGTTGGTTTTTGAAAGGAAACCAAAGGACACCCTGTTTTTGTGTTTTTGTTATGTTTTGGGCTTCCCTTTTTAAAACCAACCAAAAGTGGGTACCCTCCAGAAAAGACCACCCGAGTTCCAAGAAAATTATTGGTGTCCGATTGCCGACCAATATATGGTGGGGGTACCCAAGAAAAGGATTGAAGTTTGTGTTCGCTTTCGCGGACGCTGGAAAAATACAACTTAATAGGCAAACAGGCCCTTTCGCGACTACGTAAGTTGTAACCCTTTCACGAGCCCCTTCGCGCTGCAGAAAGAAGAATTATTGCGAGAACGATACATCCTCATGAATACTACTTTCAAATGCAGGGGTTTGGATTATTGCTCACTTGGAACTGAGCTCATAACACAGAGTCCCAATTTCGGTGATAAACACTTGTTGACTGAATTGGTTTTGCACATGTCACAACAAATTGAAGACTTGCTGGGGTTGTTTGCCAGAAAGTATGTTTGACACCTTCGAAAGGGGAGTCTAGGGAGCCTGCTTCAAAAACCTTTAATGCTTTGTATCTCCCTGTTTCCCTGTTTTTGCGGGGGAACAAGTTGCTGGGGACAATCAAACCACCCACCAAAATGTATGACAACTCTATAGTGTTCCGCAACGAAACCTAGACTGCTGCGAGGAAGGATCGTCTTGAAGGATGGGATCATCCGGGCACCTGGATTTGCTGGATCCAAAGCGAGATCTGTTTTCGCGCTTCGAGTATAATGCTGCCCCACATCGGTTTCACGCCGGAACATGCTCTGGGGCCATCTACTTTCCATTTTGACAAGAGACCAGCTCGAGCCGCCACGATGGATCGGTGCTATTCACAAACTAAAAGGGAATCCCAAATAAGTGACCCTGGGTGGCCTCGCAAAAATAATTCCTCATCCAAAAGGTTGAAATCCATAATCCGCTTAACTGGGAAGAAGTACTGGATATGTTTCAAAATAGGGATGTGGAACCAACAAATGGGCGTCGGTATTCCCTTTGGTTTCCCTTACTTCAAAGACACGAAATAAGAAAACGAAATGCTCGCAACATAAAGCCAAGTGGGTTTCTCAAAGTCGATCTGTTGGTGATGGGGAAACTGAACGAAATAACTGTTGGCCTGTTAGCCAAGTTCAAAACGGAGTGGCCCATCCTAATCCTTCGAGAAAAGGGGGACCAAACTCTTCAACCCAAAGATTGGGATTGCCTTTGGGGGACCACTATCTTGCTGGTGCTTAGCACAAAATGAGGAAATGACCCCATAAACCATCCAACTGGTGGTTTCCTTTAAGGGGACCGCAGCCTGGGTTCATTCCCACATTCCCTACTTATCGCACCAGCAAGGAACGTTTTGGCCTGATGTTCTTTGGCAAATCCACGGAAGTCAGGTGTGGAATATGTTCTTTTGGTCTCCGTGTCGACGGATTTGCTGAAGAAGCACAAGAAGGCAGAAAGCCAGGCCAGTCGATCTTGGTTGGTTCTGGTCAGGTGTCTGAGCTGCGTCATCATTCAGGGAAAACTGGTTTCCTGGTATGGGTCGCTGGATTGACCTCCATTTGGATCCATAAAGGCTTCTTTCCTTGGGCTGCTCCGAAATCCGCCGACCCCATGCCTGGTCCAGAATGGACCATGCTTTCGGCATGGGGGCGGTGTGTTCTGTGTTGCTTTTGTTGATATGCTTTCTATAAGTTTAATGTGAATATGATTATGTAGATATATATATATATATATATAACCTATATGTCCCTTGGGGCGGCCCTTGGGGCTGGTTTCTACGTCGGCTGGATTTCTGGATTTCTGGATTTCTGGATTTCTGGATCTCTGGATTTCTGGATCTCTGGATTTGGATTCTGGATTTCCCCCCCCCTCCCCCTCCCCCCCTCCCCCCCTCCCCCCCCCCCCCCCCTCCCCCTCCCCCCCCCTCCCCCCCCTCACCCCCCCTCCCCCTCCCCCTCCCCTCCCCCCTCCCCCCCCTCCCCCTCCCCACCCCCCCCCTCCCCCCCCCCCCCTCCCCCTCCCTCCCCCCCCCTCCCCCCGGCTTCTTCCCGTAGTCTTCCGTAGTCTTCCGGCTTCTCCCAGTAATCTTCCGTAATCTTTCGGCTTCTTTTCGTAGTCTTCCGTAGTCTTCCGGCTTCTTCCCGTACTCTTCCGTGGTCTTCCGCCTTCTTCCCGTAATCTTCCGTAATCTTTCGGCTTCCTCCAGTAGTCTTTCGTAGTCTTCCGGCTTCTTCCCGTAGTCTTCCGTAGTCTTCCGTAGTCTTCCGTAGTCTTCCGTAGTCTTCCGGCTTCTTCCCGTAGTCTTCCGAAATCTTTCAAGCTTCTTCCGGTAAATTTCCGTAATCTTTCGGCTTCTTCCCGTAGTCTTCCGTAATCTTCCGGCTTCTTCTCCTAGTCTTCCGATACTGTTTCGGGACCAAACAACGCGCGTGTCCTGTGCTTTCGGGCTTCTTCCCTAGGCTTCGGGTAGTCTTCCCCCACCCCTCCGCCCCCCCCTGTGTCTGTCTATGTCTGTCTACGTATCTGCATCTGTCTTCGTGTCCGCGAAGACCCCCCCTGCCCCTGCGTGTCTGTCTGTGTCTCTTTGTGTCTGTCTGGGTCTGTCTGCGTCTGTCTTCGTGTCCGCGAAGACCCCTTGCGTGTCTGTCTCTGTCTCTTTGTGTCTGTCTGTGTCTGTCTGCGTCTGTCTACGTATTATCTGCGTCTTTCTTCGTGTCCCCCCCCCCCCGCGTGTCTGTCTGTGTATTTGTGTCTGTCTGGCTCTGTCTGCGTCTGCCTGCGCATCTGCGTCTGTCTTCGTGTCCGCGAAGACCCTCCCCCCCCGCTGCGTGTCTGTCTGCGTGTCTTTGTGTCTGTCTGTGTCTGTCTACATATCGCGTGCTTTCTCTCGTCCCGGGCCGAAATTCTAAGGTGTGTGGGGGCGGCGGAACCAGGCCGCAGGCCATTAAATATGGGGCTGGCCGGTGAATTGTTGTGACTTTTGTTGGTCGCTCTTTGGAGCGAGAATCTAGGTCCTCCAGTAGAGAGGTTCGAACAGGGGTACCCTTTTTTCCGTAGTCTATTTTAGTAGGGGAACCCTCCCAACCAAAACAGAAACGGAAAAAAAGGGCACCTAGCCGGGGGACCTAGACACCTCATGAGCCCTCATCTGCTTGAATGGGTGGTTGGATTGACCCCTCATGAGTGTCATGCGCCACCTAAAAAAATACTCGTTCATGCCTTTTACGATATCATAAAGCGCACAAAGGCTATTGCGATTTCCCACAGGCTGCTTGTTTGCCTCCCAAATCCATCGGATTCTCAGGCCAGTTGCTTCTGCTCCAGTCGGCTGCCCCGCTGCAGCCGCAGCAGCTCCCGCTGCTCCGCTGAGAGCTTCTCCTGTGGAGGTCGTGTGGGGGACTTCCGCTTTGGAGGGGGCTTGAAACGGAAACTACGAGGACACCAAGGAAAAAAAACGCGTTGCAGTTCTCTTTTCAACTCTGTTGACTTCAAAGTAGATTATCTATACAAATTACTTCAAACTAGAGGAAAATCTGCGCAAATTCAATTTCCACCTCAGTTGGGAATTACAAGGTTGGTCAGGCGCTCGCTGGCACCCGCTGGCACCCGCCTGCAGCTGTTTGGCTCGCGTGTTGGCGGCGTGCGCCTGGCCAAGTCTCGCGTTCCCAAAATTTGTGGGGCCTGAGGGAACCCCGCAACAATACACGCCATCTCCAGCTGTGGGTGTGGCTCAAAATTAAACAGGAGGGGTTACGCAGGTCTTGGTCCATGTTTCCACTTACCAGGGTTCCATTTTGGTACCGGTTTTTTGAGCCACAGCCATGTGCGTATGTCACGTTGACTTGGCGAATCACAATTCAGCAGCATGAAATGATATGGTTGTGGGACGAAACCAAAGGTGCCTTTTTGGGGATGGTTGCTCCACTGTTGTCTTTTCGGAAAATGTTGGGGAACTGGGGTTTTAACCCATAGCCATATTAACCTACAACCTAATGGCTCCTTCGTTTTTTTCCCCAAGCGAAGGATCCCCCTCTTAAATGGACACCCCCGATTACTCAACAAGGGGTCTATCAATCCTCGCTTTCCATTACACGACGAGGTATGAGGCAAGGATCCTTCAACATACTGTGGATGGCCAGTTGGCAGGTGTTTCTCCATTTATTCATCCCAACTGCATCGCAACAAATCTAACGTGCCCAATGCTCAGGGGGAGCACAAGCAATTTGATCAAATCAAGCCAGCATCTGGGGAATGTCGGTTGTGATACTTTAGGATTGTGGTTGGCTACCTCTGATACATCCCAAACGCGCCTGCTTAGCAGGGGGATTCTCATCAGCAGGAGGTGAGCTCTTCACTGCAGATCGGTATCCTAGGGACCCTGCTAGCTGCAAAAAAATATATCGGGGAATCACAAAATAGGTGGTTTCCCTACAGTATACATTAGAAGCAGTCACACCAAGATCAAAAGAACTGTTTACAAAAAAATCTGGCCTCCTCCTCGAGACGGTCTCGCTCTGCTTCCTTGGCACGGCCCGACCCTGTTGGCTGGCTCGGTTGCCCCCCTAGGTGTGTCCTTTGGGGAACCTTAGTTGGAGGTGTTTCTAGCCGAGTTCAAAGGAAACTGCCGTTTCCAGGGGCCGTGGCTCGGCGCCTCACAGCAAAAGGTGGCGTGTCGTAGAAAATGCCGACATCCGTTAGACATCCCACTGTTGTGAGCAATACCTGGCGAAGCTCCGTCAAGGCGTTGTTTCTTCCAGGGATTCGCTCGGTGGCGGTTGGTTCGCTCAGCCGGGGGCTTGGACTGTCAGGGTTTACTTCGAAAACTTTGGGGCTTAGGAGCGCAACCAGACCGGGGTTTGGACTTGTATTGTTGCTTTGGATTTGGTTCAGGCAACATCGGGGTTGATGCTTGGATGACCTCTTTGCTAAAGTCCCCGGTCTGGGGTTAGTTTCGCAGTTATCGGGTTTGTTCCGGATCCTTAATTTAGGTACTGCTGGTTTGGCGGCTTGGCCACGCTCCCAAACCAGCCAAAATTGAAGCAACCTCAAGGTAGCTTGCAAAAGTAGTTCTAAACCTGGCTAAATACAGCCGCAGGAGACATCACACTGAAACCCAAACAACCGACCCACCAAACAACCAGCCAGCCAGCAAGCAAGCTACGCTCCACAAGAAGCTACGCTCAGCATGGGTTTGCGCAGCTGGGGTTATATACGCAAGTAGATCTTGGCTTCCCGTTTAGTGAGGGCTACATATTCCCGTGCCACGTTGCGATCAGGACACCCTATTCAAAACACCAAAGGTGCTGGGCCCACCTACAGCAGTTCAACTTAACGCATGATGGTTTCAACACACCAACCCCAAACGAATCGTGACACCCCCGCGAAATGTTCAGGAGACGTTGCCCCAGGCAACGCTAGTATGTTTGACACTTGCCCAAAGTTAGTGAACCTGTAACCTCTTTCTTGTCGGTGGGGGCAAAAACACACGAACCCGTATAAGGACCTGCTTAAGCATCATAACGCTACAATTGTTTCAACGACCCGTTTCCCTTTGAAGAGGGCCAAGGCCCGCTTGTTCAACCAATTCTGCCCAATTCCCAAGTATGCTTTGGCGAGCCTTACAATGCAAAGTCATATCGAAAATCGAGGCGAGGTACAATCTATCGTTGAAAAATTGCCCATTGCGAAGGTGCACCGATGCCATTCGGCAAACGGACACATCCTTGCGAAGGGTTGGGAGGGCGGGAAAGCGTGAGCATGAGGGCCGCGGCCCCGGACTCTGGCCCAGCATTTATACTTTAAGAAGATTTGAGACGCAGTGAAATCACCCCCTTGATTTTTTGGACGCCTTGAGGGATTGAGTGAGCCTTGGGCCAAGCAGCGTGCTTGGCGTCACCTTGTGCGCACTGAGTATGAAACTTTCGCACGCAGGCCCTGTCGCTGGTCTGCCTTGTGACATCCACATGGGTAAAGACCGAAAGACCGGCGTGGGGAGAGAAAGCCTGGGGTTGAGAGTCTTTCAATTGCGCAGATCGAGGTTGTGGCGGGTGAGGTTGGCAAGTCAAAAGCTTTTGAAGATTTTGAAGGAGGGGAGAGCTTCCGGCAAGTTGGTGGAGAAACTCATCGGGCACTTCACTTTTGCTGGTCTTCTTTGACTGGGGGTGTTGAGTTTCTCTCAGGCAGTTAATTCAATGTGTTCATCAGGGTGTTCGCAACTGACGCGTCCTTCTGGGGCAGGGGAGTTGCGGTGTTCGAGAGACTGGCTCAAGATATTCGCGCCGTTGGCAAGTGGAGGTTTTCTGTTGGCTCCGTAGTGATGGGCGAAAAGCCTTCAAAGAAAAAGAAGAAAGGAAAGCCGGGCGAAGCACAGCAAGCAGCCAAGTCTGCCAATGGAACCCGCCATGGCTTTTTCAGCATCTGGCGCACCCTCAGCATGCACACGGGAAGCGGCATTTGATTCTTAGTGGTGCGTGAATGCTGCAGTGCACGGCGTCGTTCATGCTTTGGGTGCGCACCAAGCACGGATTGACGGAGGAGGGCTGGCTCGGTGAAGAAGGCTGTGGAAGAGCCGGAGAAGCTTTTCTGGGGTGACGCCCCTCCGCAGTGTTCTCTGCCCAAGCAGATTGCACACCTCTGAAAGGCTTTTGCACCAAACACTGAACAAAATGCCAACTAGCCCACAACGCCCTCGCTAACAGCTCCCCCAAGAAGCTCCGCCGGGCACACGCAGCTGCAAACACACCCGGTCTCCCGCCACGCGGCCAACCATGTGAAGCAAAGCGCTAACCGACGGAGCGTCTGAAAAGCTTGAGCATGAGGGTCGCGTCCCCTATCAAGACCCTGTGAACAGAATTACGTTCGCCGCTTCTATTTTGCAGAGCCCAACCTGAAGCCAAGCAAAATAAGATACCAAAGGCAGCAGCAGACATATACACGTAGATATATAGATGTATACAAATACACACACACATACACACCTGCACACACACACATACACACAAAACATACATACATGAACACAAACAATCACAATTACAAGCGCAAGCACAAGCACAAGAACAAGCACACACACACACGGGTTCACACACAGAAAGACACGCCACTGCCTACCAGTAAATAGGCGGGAAAGGCGGGAAGGGTCCTGGACGAACATCGACTGTGCTAAACTCTACCTCTTACCAGTGCCCGCTGAAACTTCTTCAGAGCGGGCGCGCGCTTTGAACCGTCTGGACATGAGGCGATCAGGCTTGCCAGTCTGCGACTCGCCGCGCAGATGCCCAGGGCCTCAAGGCTGGCAAAACCTCGGAGCGAAACAGAAGCGGCGTGCAAGCATCCTGGCACGGCCTTCGTTTTTGGCAGCTTGCTCTCAGCGTTCTTAACACTGCAGCTGCGGCTTGGGCGCCGCAAGGTCTGGCTGCTTCTCAGTTGTTGCCTTGATCTTCTTCAAGCACTCTGGCATGGCTTTCGTTTTTGGCAGCCAGCGACGTCTAGCGGGCGGGCGCGCGGCTTTTGCTCGGTCCTCAATGCTCTTAGTTCCCAACGCCGGGCTCTTTCTCAGATTTCCGACGCGTGGGTCTGCTCCAGGCCCTCATCGAGCCTTTCCCATTGCCTGCAGCCACACACCTTTGGAACATTGTGTGAGCATCCTGAAATATAAAACACCTGTGCGTGAGCATCCTGACATTTAAAGCACACCTGTGTGTGAGCATCCTGCAATTTAAAACACACCTGTGTGTGAGCATCCTGAAATTTAAAACACGCCTGTGTGTGAGCATCCTGAAATTTAAAACACCTGTGTGCGAGCCTCGCTCCACACAGATAAATCGATCTGAAGAGGAGCCGCGATCGCACTAGTCAGAAGCTTGCAGGACCGGCAGAGGCCATCAGAAATCGCAACTATAAAAGGTGTCAAGGCGACCAAACGCTTCCGACCCAAAGCGGGGGGGCTGTTGGCTGGTGCTCCATCCACAGTATGAATGCGACGTGGCCTTCAAACAAGCAGCCTGCTGATCCACATCCTGCGCGGCCAAGTCAACGCGAGCCTGTCACAGGCGTGGTTGAAAACCCAGGATCGGGACGCAAGGCTGACCTCAGAACCCATTTGGATGGCTCCTCTTCCTGATATTCTTTGGCGTTGACTCAGCAAAAGCTGGGCAAGCATGTTGTACTCTGTTGCCAGCTCGCGCCCCTTTCCTTGGAAGCTTCGCTCATGTCTCACTGTCCCATGGGCCAGCCCGGAAGGTACCACTCGCCAGCCGCGCGACTGTCATGCCAGCAGCCTGGGAGTTCTCGAAGAACTCCACCGCTGCCGGTTCTTCGCTGGCGTCTCCTGCGTCACAGCGTCGTAGGCCCGCCACGGCCGCCTCCAAGGCTTGCTTGGTTGGGTCCGTCCAGCTGCGATCGCCGGGCTGCGCCGCAGCCTCATGTGCAGCCCAAAGAGTCCGCGCAGAGCAGGCGGCACCGTCATGTCCCCGAAGTTTACGTGGTAGTTCCCTGCACTCTCTTGGAGTCGGCGTGTCCACGACTCGGTCGCGTGCCGCAGAAGCGCGCCGCGTGTGCAGAAACATTGCACCTGACCACGTGCGCAACTGGCGATTACCTGCAGCGAATGCCGCATGCGTGGCACCATACCTGCACATAAACAGCAAACCACTCAACATCATTGCAGCACAGGCTGCGCTCGTCTCCGCTCGGCTTGGCCTGGCGTTGCTTGCTTTTTTGCTCGTTTGCGCGGGCTTTCGCGTGCTTTTGCATTCAACATGTCTTCGCTTGCTCGGCCTTGCAATCTGCTACTTTCGCAAGGCAACTGCGCGTAAGTGCCAAGCAGGCTTTAGCAAGCGGGCCGGGGGGATGGTCGTACGCTGCTCTGCTTTGCGAGATGTTGCATTTCTTTGCTTGGCTTGGTTGATGGTGAGCTAGTTTTGGCTAGCGCTGGGGTCTTGCTTGCTTGCAAATCCCTTGGAATGCGCAGATTTTGCATGCGCTTGTTTTCCTCTGCTAGCTTCCTTGCTTGCACTTTCCTTTGCAGTGCCTTTGCTTGCTCAAGCGCCTTACATTTCAAACCAGAAGAAAACAAACCCAAAGCAGTTAAGATTTAGGGGTGTCCATAACTCTCTGGTAACATGTTCCAAATTAAGCCGGGCGTTCGCATGCCAACGCCAGACGAATCATGGCTTAAAGCCCTGAAAATCAGGAATCCTCGATGTCCATTCCTCTCTAGGAGGTCCTTCGGTCTTTCCGCAAGCTCCCTCTCAGGGTTCACCCAAAAAGTCCACACGCAATCAAACCGCTCCAATTTTCACCCGGTGTCTCTGTCCAACTCGCCGCTATTGTGAGATTTGGCTCGTGAGCCTCTGGCGCCATTTCATTTGACTCAGTCGGCGCCTTGTTCTTTGCAGGGTATGGATCCTTAAGTTTGAAGTGAGAACAGCGCCCGAGTCACTGGAAAAAACCCATTGCGTAGCATGTCTGGCCCGTGCCTGACATTATTTGTTTGGTGGCAGTGCGCCTTGCTTTGCAAA